CCCCCCCCCCCCCCGGGCCACGTGTCGCACACCATAGTGAAACACTTCATAAATATTTTTTTTTTAATTTTCCTATGAATTTTGTGACTATAAGTACAGATCAAATGAATAGAATGCTGATACTAATACACAAAATGATAATAATAATAATACAATATTAAAAATTCAAAGATTCGGAACAATTCCTCTTTGTGCTCATCTTTTAATATTGGTGGGATGTATCTATAAAACATTTAACGAAAAGTGTGGCATAAAGCTGTTTTGGTTGGTAGTCTGTGGCATAAAGCTGTTTTGGTTGGTAGCCTGTGGCATAAAGCTGTTTTGGTTGGTAGCATTTGACATAAAGCAGTTTTGGTCGGTAGCATGAGGCATAAATTTGTTTTGGTTGATAGCCAATGTATAAAATCGATTTCAGCTGGCTGGTCAGAGTCAAATCATTCAGCAGGACATTACAGTTCAGTACAATACAGCTCGATACACTTGCTTAAGTTGATGCATTTAGTGGTTAGCGATCATACACAGTGCAGGCTGAATTATATTTCTGCTGGCAGCTGTCCGTCACATTGTAGCGATGGTGTAGACTTAGCAGGACGAAACCCACAAGGCCTGGGATTATTCTTTTTTAGGATTATAAGCTTGGAGCCCTATACAGCAAATCGCCTCTCTCCACGCCGCTGGATGGCTACACTACGGAACTCCATCTCCGGGTTGGAATTCAAGAGTCTCCAAGGTTAAGACTTCTCATCCACCCGTGGTGCTGGTGATGCCTTTGCTCTTGACCAGGCTTTGGGTTTGGGGTTGAACTCCAGACCTCGTGCGAACTTGAGATTGGCCCGCATGCCGTTTAGACCACTCGGACACCCGGCATTTAACCGGGTCTAACTTTATAATCAGTTTATTTTCAAGGTGACCTTTTCAACAAGCACACACCTTCAGTTGTCGCGAAATGAAACTCACGGGTGCGAAACCCAAGGTACGGATGCGCATCTTTCGTCACCGTTCTTAAAACTAAATGACCTTTTTAGCTGAGCTCATGCAACGTATTAAGTTCAGGAATGTGTGTGCAATAACGAATGAATTGTAGATTTCCAAAGGGGGTGAGGGTGGCGGATTGTGGGTTCAGGATAATGCTATTCAACGAACGTTTGATGAGGACAACAACCCTCGATGCCTTGTAGTGTTCAATTTTTTCGATGCTAACAATCATTCGGTGACAAGTGTCAGCTGAATGCCTTGTAGTATTCAATTTGTTTCGATGCTAACAATCATTCGGTGACAAGTGTCAGCTCGATGACTTGTAGTATTCAATTTGTTTCGATGCTAACAATCATTCGGTGACAAGTGTCAGCTCGATGACGTGTAATCTCTTTTCTTCGGTTTAATGTATATTGTTAATGGGGTCGGTTATTTAAAAATAAAAATACATCTGCTCAAGTGATTGAGAGTGGCTTTACTTTTAAAACCGTCTTCACAAAATATGCCTGGAAGCACATCTATCGGACATGGGTCGCGTTTTATATTAGTCCAAGAACTTGATGATATTAAAATATAGTTGCATGTTGAAATGTTGTTTTTTTTTTAAACGCCGCTAAATCATCAGTGCCATAGATCTACCCTGTATAATGAATGTACGTTCATAAATCTTGAACACTTAAGACTTAACACCAAGACCGACACACGTTCAAGTGATAGGCTTACACGGCTGCAGGTCTAATATTTGAGGACTGATTTTCGCACGTGAGCTCACGTTAAAATATTAGTCATTTAATTATCGACTAAACAATACTTTGCTGGAATTAAATTGCCACTATCTAAAATTACTATTATTTTTTTTTACCTAACCATATTTAATAAAGAGCGATCACCGTTCCAGTTTGATTAAAATCCGTGGACACACACTAACATTAGCGCCATTTTAATTAAATAATATTAGGCATAACCGACGGGTTTTTTAACAGCTCCCCCAGCGCGGGTGACGTTCATTTGCCGAGCCCTCAGCTGCAGCTATCGTTCATTATTAACGCACTCTCCCATCAATTACCTGGTAATACATAACATTTAAATCGGGTTTCATTTGGAAAAAAAGCGGTGTTGTAAAAATGGATACAACTTAAACGCCAAATCCATAACTTTGCGCAAAATTTAGCACGGCATTCCATCATTGCCTATTGGATTAGACTTTGCACCCACAAAGAGCCATATTAACATTGATTAGACCATTAAAGGCGGCCCATTTTTTCAGAATGTGAAGAAAGCCGTTAAAAAAAAAAATACTTTCAGAAAAAAAAATCACTTATTCATGACCTAGTTACAGTTCGTTTAAAAAACTTAGCTTCAGTGAAAAGACGAAGCTAGCTGGTACCGTTTCCGTATTTCACGGTCGGCTGAACTCATCTGTTCGTAATATAACATGTTTTTTTAAGACCCCAGCGATCCTGTTGTTATAAAATATCAACTCATACAGCCGATTTTTAAAAAAAAATTGTTTGTATAGTTAAGATTTTTTAAGATACCGTTTCTAACCTTATAAGAGAGCAGCGCATGAATATAACATTGTTAATATGGACTATTTTGTTGATGATACAATACATCACGTTGAAACTTATGCGTTCATGTGGGTAAGGTAAACAAAAAAAAAAGAAAGACAAGGGAAAAAAAGAGCCGATATCTGAACAATAGGCTTCAATTCCTGAAAATTTGAAAAACAATTATTTATATGAATATTTACGTACAATGGAAATTTCTAATGTAACCGGAGTTGAGGAGGAGTCTTTAACGCTAAGCGACGAGGCTAGGCGACTTATCATCATCATCAATTTAGTCATCCTCAGCAGTACCCTGGGCGTTTTCGGCATCATCGCCAACATCATCAACATCATCATCTTCTACAAACAGGGCCTCCACACACCGGTCAACATCGGCTTCATGGGGCTGGCCTTCTCCGACCTCTTCGGCCTCGTGACCCTGGAGTGGTACTGCCTCTGCTTCAATCCCCTGTTCGTTGGATCTGACGTCAACATCGTGCCGTCCGAGGTCCAGCATCTGACGGCGGGGTTCCCGCACGCGTACTTCGCGAGGACCACCGCGTGGATAACAGTGTACCTGACCGCCGAGAGGTGTCTCTGTATTGTGGCGCCCTTAAAAGTGAATCGGATTCTTACGCCGGCACGCGCGGCGGTCACCATTTGCTGCATTTATTTTATCCTCCTGCTGCCGCTCGTGCCCGAGTATTCCACCGTGCACCTGTCATGGCGGACTGACCCCGAAACGAACGTCACGCTGCTCGGCATTGTTCTCACCAACCACTTATCGGGGGTGGACGGGCTGTCTTTTTTACTCTACGCCATAATTATGGTAGCCTCGTTCCCGCTGGTCGTCCTGCTGACGGCCATTTTGATATTCAAGCTCAGACAGAAAACGAAATGGCGTCAAACCTCGGCGCCCGCGAACAGCCGATCGGAGAACGTCTCCAAGCGTGACAGTAACGTGATCAGAACCGTCGTCGTCATCGCGTGCCTGCTGATCGCGTGCTACACCCCGAGCTTTCTCTTCTCCACGGTCGGCTTCGCTGTCCCGGGGTTCAGCATTCTCGGCCGACATCGGAACTCCTTCTTGGCCATGGCCACCTTCGGGTTCCTGTTCGACGCGGCCAACTCGAGCGTGACAATTATCTGCTACTTTAAAATGAGCACAAAATACAGGCACGACTTTATCGACTTGTTCGCTCTGCCGAAAAGAGAGCCAATAAAAATGTTGAAAAGCCGATGACAAAATAGACATTTATGGAAGAGATGTTAACAAATGTATTAATCGTGGGGGGGGGGGGGGGGAAGACATTTAAATCTGTGTCACATTATTTTAACGTTAAACTAGAAATTAACTGACAACGATGGTTGAAACTTTAAACATTGTCTTTGTAAAAACAAGAACAAAATTTAAGGCGAATATCTATTTGTCATTAACAAATCCGGCAAATTCTATACTTAGTACAAATATAACAAGTAAATAAAATTTAAAAAAAAACCCCCAAAAACATTGAAATATTGTTCATACCAACGATCTTTGGCATCAAAGCTTTAAGGCAGAGGTCCTCAAACCAATTGCCCGTGGTCCATATCTGGCTAGCTGGGGGTCCTTAATTAATCCCGCCAGAGTCCTTAGCCTTATTACGGCCCACCTGGCCATCGCTTGGTCACCCTAGTAGAAGTGACTAATATGGAGCTCGAACATTGACCATCTCATTAGCCAAATGCAGGCCCATATTCTCCCATTGAAACACTTATGAGTTCATGCTGATCAAATATTTTCCTTCATTTTCAATATTTCTATGGGTTGTGCAGTGTGCATAGTAGTGATATGTGCAGTTTGCGTAGTAGCGATATATGCAGTTTGAATAGTAGCGATATGTGCAGTGTGCATAGGAACTATGCTCAAGAACGATTTTTGCAATGTGCAAAGGAACGATATGTGCAGTGTTCATAGAAACTATATGTACAGTGTGCATAGGAGCGATAAACGCAATGTGCACATGAATGATATGTGCAAAGGGAAAAGGTATGATATGTGCAGTGAGCAAAGGAACGATATGTGCAGTGTGCATGGGAGCGATATGTGCAGTGAGCATAGGAAAGATATTTTCAGTGTGCATGGGAACGATATGCAGTGACCATAGCAATTCGCCCATATCATATTCAAATATTCAAACAGCAGAGTATGTTGGACCACATTATGAAACGCCTGAGACATTTTATTTCTGTATCTAATGACGTTAACTGTCGTTAAGGGTTTATACCAAAATAAGATCGCGCGCGCAAGTTGACATCTGAAATTAAACTACCAGGAAACCTAACGAGCCCCCAACTTAAATCTTTTGAAAAAAAAATTATCCAGAAACATTCGTAGTTGGCTTTTGAAACATATCCATGTCCAGAAGCTCCTGGTCCTTAATTCTTGGGAAACTACTGTAACCATTTAGACCAGCGGTTCTCAAACTTTGGGTCGCGAACCCTTCGGGGGGTCGAACGACCATTACACAGGGGTTGCCTAAGACCATCGGAAACACATAATTTAAGAAGTAGCAACGAACATAAGTTTATGTTTCGTGGTCGACACTACACGAGAAACTTAAGTAAAGGGTCGCGGCATTAGGAGTGTTGAGAACCACTGATTTAGACCAAATGTTTCCTACAGGCAGTTAAGTGAAGGAAATCGATTGTTTCCCCCCCTCCCCCCCCCAATTTTTTTCTTCTATTGTTAGAGAAGATAGAAATAAAGAGTAGGCATCATCATTTATTACACGTTTATAATTTTAATTGAAAATCTGGTAGGAATTAATAATGTTGAAACTCCCCTCTCTCTCTCCACACCTCTCTCTCCCTCCCTCCCCCTCTCTCGTCCTCCCTCCCCCTCTCTCCCTCTGTCTCTATCTCTCTCTCTGCCCACCTTGCAAAGCCCAAAGGCTTTCTCAAAACACTGAGAGCTTGTTGCATGTCCAGTTACTGCCGGAACGTGAAGTTCATTATGAAGTAAAACAGGTCGATGAGGTCGACATCGAGGAGGCGCACCGTCCACATGACGCACAGGAAGGAGATGTTCGTCGGCGTCTGGCCCTCGCACACATCTCCCAGCAGCAGGCCGACCACGAGCCCACAGCTGCAGTTCACCGAAGCCATGTCTTTCACCGGGACGAGCCCCGTGTGCTTTGAACCGTGCTGAGCGACGGGGAACTGCCCGGCGTTCATTGGTGTGCAAATTATTTCGACCGGGAACAACCTGAAACCTGGAAGTAATGAGTGGTCACATGGTATATTTTTTTTAATTATTTTTTTTTTCCTGTTACGTTTCTAAGTTTGAGTTTGTGCATTTCCCTCTAAAATTTCCAAAACGCAAAACCGTAATAGTAATGTATAATGAATCTATATTATTCGGGTACCCGTTTGCGTGGCATCGCCTTCACTGTAAAACATTTGATAGATTTCAACTAATTTTGGGTTTTCATGTATACATATACATACCTAAATACAGTTATTATTATTATTATTATTTTAATTCGCTTTAGTATGTCTATAACCATCAAGGATCTTTTAATTAAACAAAACAAAAAAACATTAACGTTCTGTGTAAAATGAAGTTGCAGTCTTACGAAAGTACTTGGTCTTCTCAAAACTTTTGAATATATATATAAATTTAGATTCAAAATCACTTTAGAAATTAAACACGTACCTTATACACTTCAGCTATAAAAAAAAAAGACAATTGTTATCCCTACACCCACAGACCAGACCTCAAGAAATCTTATAGCAAAATTTCAGACATCAAGTTTTTAACATAATTGTTGGCGTGTTTTTTTCCCCGTCGTCTATCAACACTTCTAAAGATACAATTACGACTATCAACGCTTCTAAAGATACAATTACGTCTATCAGCGCTTCTAAAGATATAATTACGTCCATTAACCGTCGGGCGACGTTATTTTTTCTGCTAATTAGCTCTAAAAGTAACGCTCACAGCGTTAAAGTTAATTCGCACCTCAGGACTTCAAAGATCGCTTAAAACTCTCGCCGCTGATCTCCATCTGACACATCAGGCCCCATGGCTCCTCCCATTACGAGCTTTTAAGTGAGGATTGAGGAAAATGAGGAGGATTGGTTTGATGTCTGGGAAGCTACAACAAAGACCGCGGTTGCAGTGTTAAAACAAACATGTTAAACCCAAAAATAACTGGCACATTAAGTGGTTTGAAGGCGCAATCATGATTATATCTTGATAATCATACCAGCCGACTTTTAATGGATAGAAAGAGAGAAAACAAAATCTTATCAAGATGAATGCCTAGGTCTTGCTTACGATTTTGGCCTAACTTTTTAAAACCTCCTTTCATTTCTGGAAATAACAATTAATGACTTTTATTTTATAACGACAAACTTACTTTAATTTACCAGTGCTGGTTTAAATTTTAAAATAATCATGAGAGACTATTTGGATATAAGCAACAATGCCACATCAACCTCAGTCATGATACACGAAGTGATGAGCATTGCAAGTTATTTATCTATGAAAGAATGCTTTCCGCAAAGCATCAAACTACTCTCAAAAGAAATTAGTTGGCATATTTTTTTTACTATTTAAAATCTAAATTATTTATCTTTTTTTTTTTGGAAGGGTAGTTTGAAAAATTCTTTTAAGCAGTTGAAATATTGTTCAATGACAAGCTGCCTCTCCAGTAGAGGCCAATAATGTAAACAAAAATATTTTCTTTAAAAATCCATTTTAATTATGAATCCAACCGCTAGTTTCAATACTAATTTCTCAAATATGACATTGATATTTTAAACTTTAAAACTTTGCAGTCATGCATACATCTAAACAACGCATGCTTCTTGTTTTTTTAACGACGAGATAATAGTAAGTATTGTTTGTGTAAGTTAATTTCAAACAGGATTGCTGCTGGATAATGTTGGAGCTGATCTGAAAAAAGGATCTGTTGTTATTAATAGATAAAAAAGTTTTAATTTTTGTTTCACATTTCTCTAAAAAAAAAAAAAAAAAAAATTTGGAAGGTCGTTGATTGAAAAGACTTGGACCTGACTCATGATAGCAGCTCAGATAACCGCTCATGCTGCAGATCTAAGTAGTCTTTCAGAGAAGTGCCGAAGCTTCTCAATTTAGGTAAGACAAGCGTGCCCGTGACATCAAGGACGATCTAATGAATTGCACGGCCTTCAAATGTTCATATCTTAATGTCTTATAGCATTTTTCATTGGATTTAGTATGTTAAGATATCCAAATCTATTGAGAACATTTAATTTTTTTAAATTTATTAATTTTTAGTTCAAACTCTAAAAGTCCTGTGGCCATCGATTGAAGTTGTGGCGGAGGTTGAGGCTGTATCATAATCATAGCATGTTATCTGACAATTAGAACTGAACAAGTGTAACCGATAATCCTACACAATCCATCATGGGCTCTGACGTACAAGCATATTAGTTTGAACGATATGTGATCTCACAATACACAAATTGAGTTATACTTAAAAACGCACACCGGTAAATAAAATAAATGGATTGCATCAATTGCATTTTATAGGTCTTACCCAGTGCTTCCTAAACTGTTACGCCACCGTCCCCCCTTCTGAGCACCTGAAAAGTTTTAACGCCACCCCCACCCTACCCTGAGCCCCAACCGCATTTTGTTTTCTTTGAGGAAGGTCCTGAAAAGAGACTCCATGCTACTGCAGGAAAATTGCATTTCGATTTCAGTCACCCAGATTCAATGTTGTTGTAGGTAACTTACAATGGCCTAAGGGCAAATATATTTGTGTTGCAGCCAATGACAATGACAATGACCAGTGACAAACCATGACATTGGTTAACTTTGATTTTTTATTAAGTATCCTTCGGATATTGCCTCCCCAACAGACACTTACAAAAAGCGAAAACATTTCCAACGTCAGAGTCTAATATCCACCCCTCTCCCCACAACACACACACACTTTTTTAACACGATCTTCAAATCGCCCTTCCCCCCCCCCCCCCCCCCGTCGGGCGTACGCACCCGTTTTAGGAACCCCATGGGTCACGGCTTGCATCTTTGTACACTACCTTCACAGAAACAGTTATGAGACACCTAATGTTTAATGAACACACGTACATACAAACTGGACATCGTCAGAAAAATTTAGTACAGATCTGTAGACATATTTAATTACTGATAGAGTGAAATGAATGTTTTATTTATTTATATTCGTTAAAAAAAGAAAAAAAATTAACATACATAATGACCTATAACTACAGAGAAGATTTTCCAATCAGACAAATCAAATAAAACAAATATTTACGCCGTACAAATTTGCCCACACAAAAATACATTTTAGCTATAAAAAAGAGGAAAATCGCAACAAAATAAAAAAAAAAAAAACAACTCATTATAAAGCTTATGGGCAAGACATTAACTAGCGGTCCTAGGCAATTACATTTCACATTTATGCAAACAGACAAATCAAATAAAACAAATATTTACGCCGTACAAATTTGCCCACAAAAAAATAAATTTTAGCTAAAAAAAAGAGGAAAATCGCAACAAAAAAAAAAAAAAAAAAACAACTCATTATAAAGCTTATGGGCAAGACATTAACTAGCGGTCCTAGGCAATTACATTTCACATTTATGCAAATTTAAATACGCTTGGTCATTGTGTACATATTTATCTACTATCGTTTCAAAGGGTTGCACATTTTTATTATGATTTCTTTACATGTATACATATCAAAACCGTAAATCGAACTTCCCATTTCTTAAAGGAAATCATCACGTACAAAGCAATGTTGATTTCATTTCGAACACAATTTTTCCCCCACACAGCACGTATCACACAACTGAAACAAAATATAATCAAAATGGACCCCGTGTACACCCTAACCACCGTGTTGACCTGTTCACCATTCAGCCAATAGGAACGCGAATATTTGACGTGATCGTGCACGGGCTCCTTTGAAGAAATGATAAATGCGTGGTACCCTGACCTTAGGGACCGCATGACTTCAAGATCATTATCCATAGTTTTCCTTTCTTATAAAAAAAATAAATATATATTATGCGGATAAACTTAAAATTTGAAAGTGATGGTATCTTTTTATTATTATTAGAGCAGGTGGTGTGAAAATTGATGGAGACAAATTCTTCCCCGAATTCTCTTTTCTGTTCATACGTGCATTAAGATTTTTCAGCTTGCGGTCCCATATTTAGATTTGTTGTATGGTTTATTCTACAAAGATCGTGCGTATGTGTGCGTGTTAATCTCAATGACTAATCTATTTTTCATCAGTGCACCAAATGTTTGACATCTGCAGTGCTAATTCATAACGTCTCGGGTAATAGTGATAATGTTCCCAACACCGTTATACAGGCGTAAACATGCTAGTTAGGAACTTTTTTTTCTTCTTTGAATGTTAAATAAGTATGTGACACACACAACTGAAATCTTTTTTTCAAGCTGTGCTTTCAATAGTTTACGGACGACAACACTTCACGATCTTGACTCAATAGCCGTCTTCTAGACTACCTCAATACCCTTGTCTTCTGGACTGCCTCAACACACCAGTCTTCTGGACTGCCTAAACACACCTATCTTCTGGACTGCATCAATACCCCTGTCTTCTGGACTGCCTCAATACCCCTGTCTTCTGGACTGCCTCAACACACATGTCTTCTGGACTGCCTCAATACACCTGTCTTCTGGACTGACTCAATACACCTGTCTTCTGGACTGCCTCAATACACCTTTCTTCTGGACTGCCTCAACGCACCTGTCTTCTTGACTGTCTCAATACATCTGTCTTCTGGACTGACTCAATACACCTGTCTTCTGGACTGCCTCAACACACCTTTCTTCTGGACTGCCTCATCACATGTCTTCTGGACTGCCTCAACACAAGTCTTCTGGACTGCCTCAATACACCTGTGTTCTGGACTGCCTCAACACACCTGTGTTCTGGACTGCCTCAACACACTGTCTTCTGGAATGACTCAATACACCTTTCTTCTGGACTGCCTCAACGCACCTGTCTTCTGGACTGCCTCAACACACCTTTCTTCTGGACTGCCTCCATACCTGCCTCACCACAAGTCTTCTGGACTGCCTCAATACACCTGTGTTCTGGACGGCCTCAACACACCTGTGTTCTGGACTGCCTCAACACCCTGTCTTCTGGAATGACTCAATACACCTTTCTTCTGGACTGCCTCAACGCACCTGTCTTCTGGACTGCCTCAACACACCTTTCTTCTGGACTGCCTCATTACCTGTCTTCTGGACTGCCTCAACACACTTGTCTTCTGGACTGCCTCAACACATCTGTCTTCTGGACTGTCTCAACACACCTGTCTTCTGGACTGCCTCAATACACCTTTCTTCTGGACTGCCTAAACACACCTTTCTTCTGGACTGCCTCAATGCACCTGTCTTCTGGACTGCCTCAATACACCTGTCTTCTGGACTGCCTCAACACACTGTCTTCTGGACTGCCTCAATGCACCTGTCTTCTGGACTGCCTCAACACACCTGTCTTCGTGACTGTCTGATGGTCATATGGTATCCTCACATAAAACACGCTGCCATTAAGTTGTCCTATCTAGTTATGACATTTAAACCGCGGCTATAAATAACCTACTGACTCAACAAGACTTTTTGGTGCCTCTTAAAAATCCAACATCTCATTAATTTGATGGCACTTATATCACCAAGAGAACACCTTAGATCACTACCTCACACCGCCCCCGCCCCCACCCCTCCCCCACTTTTTAAAGGCTTTATCGACATTACACTTAAAAATGGAAATATATGGGGGGAAATTGCGAGTTCCTTCTTTTAAAAAAACAACACAAAGTTCAAATTTTGAGATCATCACCAGAGCTAATTAAAAACAGCACCTCAACCCCAACACTTGAAACCCATAATATATGAGGACCGAACACGACAGCTCGCATGAGATTTCAATGACCTACTTCATGCCAAACCAAAGATTAATTTCAGAACTGTTCAGACGATCCCCCATGACAATTATATAAAATCTCTTACCTATCATCCAATCCAGAACTACATATCACAAGAGCACTGCTCGTGATATAACCGGCCGTGTTAAAAACAACAAAATCTTTAAAATTATCTTAATTTTTTTTATATTTAATTTAAGAAATAATAAATGAAACTTAATGCGTTAAAAAAATCCATTTAGACTTCAGTATTGGCACTCTGCTCTTTCCCTATTCAACGCCAATGTGGAAATGTTCTAGAACATCTTTGCGACAAAAATTGATGACTCTTCTGGCCTGCAATTGAGACAGCATACGAGTTACCTATTTCTTATCAGATACTCTTAGTGTATTAAAGCCAAGTTGATCTGGTATAAAATCACAGAGATCGATATGAGATCATCCAATTAACTTACTTGTGCAGACTCTTCACGGTCTATGACATTCACTTGTGGGACGGCGAAGATCTCATTGAATCGGAGAATTGACCCCTAAACCGGTGTCTGTTAATTTCTCTACTCGCAGAACCATTCTCTGCCACTTGGTTCATTGATTTAAACCCATTTTCGCCCATTTATCCAGCTGCCCCACCGATCATCCTTCATTGAATCTCGCATCCACAAGCTACAGAAACACAAACTAGAACAAAGCCGCCCAGATTTCTCTTGATTGCATTGTAAAAACGTCATACTACATTGAGGATTTTAAAAGTGAAATTTAAAAAAAAATAAAAAATTAAGCCATATTTCAAACAGAATTTTAAATCTAAACTCATTTGAAATATTTTAACAATAGGTTTGGCCAACAGAATAGCTTTGTACATGGGAAAACCTGAACATTCTTGGAGAACGATATCAATCCTCTTAATAAACCGATTAGATGAGGTATGGTTTGTGTTTCGTTCAGATTCATGAACATATGACTAGATGCACTCATAACTATTCAAAATTAATTGGATACATTATTTGACACAATCGTTTTACAACTCAAGGACTGAATGGCAACATGGTAATTGGATTCAGCTAAGATGGACATATTAAATAAAAACTTATGTTAAGCTAAGAAGACTGCTGCTAAAAAGTATGCACATTGGGTATAATACATTGGTGATTTAAAAGAAAAAAATATTTCATTTAAATATTTAACTATGTGAGGAAGTATTGCTTTTTTGATACAGTACAGTTCTCGCACATAGACATGTCTCTGTTGGTCAACTCAACCACAGAAGACAGCAGTACAACCGAAGAGACAGATCCTCTTATCAACGATGAGGAGAGGCAGATTTACGAGGTGGTCACGCTGGTGGTCATCAGCAGCACCATCGGCCTCTTCGGCATCGCCGCCAACATCATCAACATCGTCATCTTCTACAAGCAAGGCCTCAACAACACCGTCAACATCGGGTACATGGGACTCGCCGTGTCCGACCTCTGCAGCCTCATCACCATCGAGTGGTACTGCCTCTGTTTCAATCCGCTGTTCATCAACTCCGACATCAGCTTCGTCCCGCCGGAGATCCAGCATCTCAGCGGCGGACATCCCCACGGCTGCTTCGCCAGGATCACGGCCTGGGTGACCGCCTACATCACCGTGGAGAGATGCCTCTGCATCACGTTTCCCCTGAAGGTCAAGCAGATCCTCACGCCCAAGAGGACGACGTCCATCCTCTGTGTTATTTACGTCATCATGATGCTGCCCCTGATACCAGAATACGCCACTGCCTACGCCGGGTGGAAATTCTACCCCAATCTGAATAAAACGCTGGTAGGACTCGTGTTCACAGACGACAGGAAGAAGTATGAGGGCCTCAGCTTCCTTCTTCTGGCTGTTCTGATGTTCATCTCTTTCCTACTGGTAGTCGTGTTCACGGCCATTCTGGTGGCCAAACTCAAACAAAAGACCCAGTGGCGCCAGAAATCAACGTTCGACAGCGCCCAGTCCGACAACTTCACCAAGCGTGACAAGGGCGCCCTGAAGATGGTCATCGTCATCGCCAGCATCCTGATCATCAACTTCGTCCCCACCGTCGCCTTCTACACGGCCGTCTTCATCATACCTGGCTTCAGCATCACGGGGCCGTACAGGAATGTTTTCCGTGTGTCCGCGGCGTTCGCGTTCATATTCGACTCGCTGAACTCCAGCGTGAACATCATCTCTTACTACACGATGAGTTCGAAATTCAGGCTGACCTTTCACGAGCTCTTTTCCGTATGCCGCGGGCGGAAAATCCAGGCTGCGTTGAAAAAACCTTTCTGAAAATATTGTCGTTTGCGAACGTCACATATGTCCTACCAACTCGCTATAATCTTTCACTTCAGGCGAGAAAATGTATAGAATGCAAGGGAAGAAACAACAAATTATATTAAAAATAAGATTGTATCACAAGTAATAATTATCTTGGTATGTATGGCTGTAACGCTGTGCTCTATAGCCGCGCAAAATAAAATTCCTAGAATTTAGCACTTATTGGGTTGTCTTATAATCTGCGTTACTTGAATGCATGTTTTGTCAAGTATCTTTGGTAGATGGGAAGTCCGCGCATCGCCGCCGCCATTGTTTGGCTGGCTATATCTAGTGCAAATATAAATTGTCAAGCGGAGACAACAAAGGAGGTCATAAAGGTTTTTTACCTCATACAGAAACGTATTTCAAAACATTTTATTTCATTGTAAATATAAACGCATTATATGTAAATCTCTTTTAGCCTTACGGATTTTATTTGACTAGCCAGAAGAGGTAAGAGGCCATCCCATAACTGACGTCATGCATCTAGTTGTGGAAAAAGCGGATCAACGAATTTCCATTATGGTAATGTTTTTTGTGAACAAATTGGTGACGATTGGGGGGGGGGGAGGTGTCAAATTAGACTACAATAAAGAATGACCCTTTAGAAATGTTTATGATCTTATTTTCCACAACTTTCAAAAATCCGTACAATTTTTCCTCACCTGTGACGAGTGACAACTTTTTTGTGAGCCCAAAGGCTAGACACTACCAACAACTGTAGATAGGGATTGCAAACAACTGTAGACAGGGACTACCAACTTTAGAAAGGGACTAGAGACAACCAACAACAGCAGACATGGGCTAGGGACTACTAACATTCGTAGAAAGGGACTAGAGACTGCCAACAAACGTAGCAAGGGACTAGAGACTATTAACAACTGTAGCCAAGGACTAGGGACTAACAACTATCGTAGCCAGGGACTAAGAAATGTCTATATTCGCATCAAGAGACTAGGGACTACTGGCAACCGTATCCAGGGACTAGGGACTACTGGCAACCGTATCCAGGGACTAGGAACTACCAACAACTGTGGCCAGGGTGACTACCAACAACTGTAGCCAGGGACTTAAGGACTACAAACAACCGTAGTCAAGGGAACTACCAACCGTAGACAAGGACTAGAGACTATTAACAACCGTAGCCAGGGACTAGAGACTACCAACAACTTTAGCCAGAAACTTAAGGACTACAAACAACCGTAGTCAAGGGGACTACCAACAACCGTAGCCAAGGACTAGAGACTACCAACAACTGTTGCCAAGGTCTAGAGACTACCAACAACCGTAGCCAAGGACTAGAGACTACCAAGAACCGTAGCCAAGGACTAGAGACTACCAATAACCGTAGTACGTATGGTAAACTCCGCTTGCTGTCGTCTGATACTCTTTCCAAATTCTGCCAATATCCAATCAGTTATACAGTTACTGAACTATTTGAGTAAAGTTTATCAACAATATGTGTTTCATTTGTCAACGTTTTTTTCTATTTTATATGCAGTTTATTTGTATGTAAAGCCGATAATAGGACAAAAAAACTTCCACCAACTTGCAGACTTGATGAACGATATCACAACCAGAACACATTATAATTCTAGAAATTCAATACAATAAATTCAGTGCTGTAATTCAGGCTTGTTTTTTTTTTGTTGTTGTTTTTTGAAGCATGGGTTCACATGAAGTGATCTAAACGGTCGAATCAGAGTGCACCTTCAAATTCTAAGTAATGAAATTGCATCACCAATATTTTATAATAATTAGTGGTCCCTTTCGCGTCGTATTTTACGGGTTTGATGTCGGTCTTCCCCATCCCACTGATGTACATGTCAATTTCGGTCACATTCTTTCGATTTGAAACGAACAGTGAGGGAGCTATTGTGGTGATGGACATGTTTCTGTGTGTGTTAATAACAATGGTATTTTCCCGCGCCAATGAAATTATCGGACTTAAAAAGACATTGGCTCTACTAAAACATCAACTGAAAGTAAAGTTCAAACGTTGTTTTTTTTTTGGGGGGGGAGGGGGGGTTCAAAATATACTGCCAACCTCCAGATCGTTCCACTTTGTGAGTTTAATCTCAAGACAAAATATTAATCCCATCCTTCAATACCACATATTACCGGTTGGTGGGGGAAAAAAAAAAGGGGGAGGGGTAATTCCTGGGCGTATGTCTCCAACTTGACTTACATTTGGTTATTTAAAAAAAATAATATCGATTTCTCTGACCAAGATGAGTTGCTGGTTATTTTTTCCTCCCTTTGCTCCCATTTTTAAAAAAAATCCCAGCAGTGGTCAACAAAAAATGTTATTTTAAAATTTTTAAAAAGTTTGTTCTGCTCTTAGCCTGCACCGATTTTCAAGGTTGTAGTTTGCAATTAAAATATAATTGTATGATTATATAGCAAGCAAAGCCAGGCTAACTAAACGTATTTCAAGTTAATGTTCCCTCAAAGAGTTTTCATAACTGCTAAGTTACTCAGACTAGCAATTATGCCATTGTCTTATTTCTTGTTTTAAAAGATGCTGTTTATTAATGCCTGTCTTTAAGAAATACAATTCCTTGGTGTATGTAAAACACAACTCAAGAACACGGGACACGGCGCCAACAAAAAGAACTTCTTGTGTATAACATATATGTTAAGTCGTGGCTGAATAATACACGACTCGCCGATGAAAGTGACTTTGAATAAACTTGGGTTGTAATGTTATGTACGCCTCACACGTGGCGATCAAATTTAGAAACAAAATTTTAATCTTTGAAATTGAAAAAAAAAAGATATAGCCTTAGTATTATAATCGAAAATGTTATGGTATTGCTTACTATTAGGGACCATCGTTAAAAAAAAACATTAACCCGTTAAGATTTCAACTAAACAAGTAGATGATAAGTCTGCAGTGATGCTTAGATAGATTTTGTTTACACAATTTATACGGATACTCGAGAATGGTAAAATTTATTCAGGACATATTATCGAAATTGCGGGCAGTTCTGAGACTGAAAGTATAATAATGAATTTAAATAAAACGTCTTACTAGACTATCTTCTAAATAAAAAAAAAATTTTTTGGGGGGTTTAAATCGCTAAGAAAACTCAATTTAATTTGGCACACGGGGCGAATTGAATCGTTTCTTTTTGTTTTGGTTTTGGTTTTTTTTTTGCTCGTGCATTAAAATGGCATCAGCCATCAACACATATCCGGCCACTTTCGTTCTGAATGAGAGCTTACGTTCTGGGTCCATCGTCACATTTTTCAAAACTCCCCGCCAATTTTTCGACAACGAACTTCTCACCCAGCTGACCACATTCATCGCGTTCATGGGGGTCTTAACCAACATCGCCAACATCATGGTCTTCTACAGGCAGGGGTTCAAATCCTCCGTCAACATCGGCCTCACGGGGCTCGCCGTGTCCGACCTGTGCGGCCTGCTGACTCTGCCGTGGTACAACCCGATTGTGTGCTTGTCTCTGCCGAACTCCGCCGCCAACATCTTCTCAACGGAAGTGAAGCAGCTGACCTCAGGATTCCCCCATGCGTGCTTCACCAGGATCACCGCCTGGATCACGGTGATGCTGACCGCCGAGAGGTGTGCCTGCATCTGGGCCCCCTTGACGTTCAAAGGTGTAATCACGACGAGGCGGGTCAAACTGACCGTTGGCTTGGTTTACGTCCTGATGATCGCGTCGCTGCTCCCAGAATACACCACGGCGTACCTGGACTGGAAGTTCTATCCATCATTCAACACGACCCTTATCGGGCTGGTGGTAACGGCTAACAGAAAATACACCGAGGGGCTCAGTTTTCTTCTCTACGCCATCTACGTCCTCGTTTCGTTCCCGTCCGTCATATTTTTCACCTCCGTCTTGGTCGCCAAGCTCACACAGAAGACCAACAAACGGGCGGCCCTGTCGCACGACAGGTCGCAGAACGAGGCGATCTCAAGGCGGAACAAGAAGACGATCACCATGGTGGCGGGGGTGGCGTGCGTCTTCATCGTCACGTTCGTCCCGACGTTCGTCATCTGCCTGCACGCCTTCGTCCAGCCGTCCAACACGCCCACCAGCAATGACCTCATGTGGCTGGCCGTTTCCGTCATGTTTGCGTTCGACGCCCTGAACGCGACTGTCAATATCGTTACGTACTATACCATGAGCTCCAGGTACAGGCTACACTTTCACACGCTGGTCATGTCAACGCCTCTGTGTAGGCTAACGAGTTATCTGCCTTCATATCGCAGAACAGAACTTCTCAAGTAACATTCGACGGCTGCGGGGCTTGAATCTCCCTTTACGGAGCTTGTAGAACTGATCTTGTCATATTTCAAAGAACTAATTTTATTATTCTTTCTGATGTGGCTATGTGGCGGAAATACACAATAAGTGGCAACATCCTATTTTGAATCGCTGGCACGTGCCAAGTGAAAGCAGCTAATCACTTTGTGAAGTCTCCAAGAAAAAAAGCTTTGGTTACATTTTTGTCACCGTAAATGTCCAACAATTGTTCTGTATGCGTAGTTTGGAGAGTTTATTGAACAGGTTTTAAAAAAAAAAGAATTTAATTTTTGTTCTTCATTAGCTGTTAACAATAATCTTTATTTTTTAAATTTTTTTTTTTTAAATTTTAAATGCTTGGTAAATGTCTTTTTTTCTTTTTTTTGCTTTAAAAATAAACAACAACGCACAATTCACTGGTTAAAATTACGCTTTTCTAAAAATAAAAAAAAAATAATTAAACAAAGTCCCCCAAAACTTCAGAGTTGCTATAGTCATATTACTATATAAAACAAAAACAAAAAACTTGGGGTGCCAATAAACTCAACGTTCATTGCAAATCGCAAAGACACGCACGCAGCGGTACCGCTAATTTCATTCCACTTCTCAAGACCACGAAAGATTTATGGGGCATGCAACAGTAATGCTGGGCCGGTGTGAGATCTGATTCGTCCATGATTAAATAACCTGTGTCACAACAATTGTGTCACATAACACTGACTTGCAGCGATGGAAACGGATTACATAATGTGTCCAACATTGTATTTGTCGAGTCATTGTCAAAACTCCAGTTTCTGCTAGATTGGTTCATCCATCAAGTTCTTTCACACGTTGTAAAACATCGTATTTGCACTGAATCAAGTCAAGTCCTCGTTCATTAAAAATGAAACTTTGATATCTCATTATTGCATACACAGGCTGTTAACTCCTTACAGACACGAATAGCCCAGCACGAATATATCACACAGCAATAAAACAAAACCTCCCTTGCACAATAGTGGGGCTAAAAACCGGGTTTGGCGTTAACAATAGATTTTTTAAAATATAATTTTTGTTCCACATTTGTCTCAAAAGAAACATTAGGAAGTTCGTTGATTGCAAAGACTGACTCAAGATAAAAGTTCATTCTGCAAGCTAAGTAGTCTTTCAGAGAAGCCCCAAAACTTCTCGATGAAGCTAAGATAAGCGTGCCCATGAAAACAAGGACGATCTAATGAATTGCATTCAAATATTCATATCTAAATGTCTTATAGATTTACCATATGTGCCCCAGGGCTCAGTTTTAGGACCTATTCTATTCTGCATGTACACTAGCCAGCTCGGCAAAATTATTGAAATTCATGGTTATTTCCCGCAAAATATTTGCGGATGACACAGAACTATACAGGTGTTTCCGCCCGGATCCCTTGGAGTGTGCTGCTGCTCAGGCTGTCGAGGACTGCTGTCTTGCTGTGAAAGAATGGATGTCACCAAACAGACTAAAACTAAATGAAGATAAGACTGGGCCAATTATTTGTGGTTCAGACGTCAATCTTCGGAAAGTTGCCATCGCATCAATAAAAGTTGGTGAATCAGAGATCCCGTTGTCCTCCACTATCAGAGACCTTGGCTTATATATTGACAGAAAACTTAGAATATCAGTTCTTTGGTCAGGGCATGCTGGTGTCATCTACGCACCATGGGTCAGCTGCGTCCTCAACTCAATAAGAGAACAGCCAATGCCGTAGCGGTAACTCTAATCCAGTCAAGATTAGATTACTGTAACAGATGTTGTGCGGTTAACCTCAGAACCAATTTCAGAGACTCCGGAAAGTACTGAATACTGCAAGCATTGTATAACGGATAAAGAAATCTGACCACATCACCCTAGTTCTACGAGATCTCCATTGGGTTCCTGTGATTGAAACCACTAACTACAAAATTCTATCCCTGGCGTATAGCTGCATAGAAGGCTCTGCACCGGAATATCTTAAAGAACTGATTTATTCACAAGTATCCTTAGAGAACCTGCGGTCTTCAACACAGACTTTACTGAAAATTCCCATTGTGGATGAACACAGAAAAAAGTCTGACGGAGTGTGCTCTTTTGAAGCGATAGCGTCAAAATTATGGAACAGTTTGTCTCAATCTTTGAGGGGAATAGAAAATGATAAAAAATCATTTAAGAAACATTTAAAAACTTTTCTGTTTAAATAGATTGAAGTAAACAAGAGCGCATGGAGCATGCTCAAGTAGCATGCATACACCAGTGCTATATAAATATCCAATCAATCAATATTTCAAATGTTGTTCATTTAATTTATTATGTTAAAATATCAAAATTGTTGAGAACATTCTATTTTTTAAAATATAAACTTTTATTTCAAACTCTAAAAGTCCTGCGGCCATCGATTGAAGTTGTGGTGGAGGTTGAGGCTGTATCATAATCATAGCGTGTTATCTGACAATTTGAACTGAACAAGTGTAATGGATAATCCTACACAATTCATCATGGGCTCTGACGTATAAGCGTATTGATTTGAACGATAAGTGATCTCACAATACACAAATAGTTTCATAAAAAGAAAAAAATTAAAAAAAACCGGTAAATAAAATAAATGGATTGCATTTGTTTTTTGGTTTTACCCAGTGATTCCTAAACTGTTATGCCGCCGTCCCCCATCTGAGCACCTGAAAAGTTTTAATGCCACCCCACCCCCCCCAAAAGTTTTAATGCCCCCCCCCCCCCCCCCCCCCCCTTACCCTGAGCCCGATCCCCCATTTTTTTTTCTTGGAAGAAGATCCTGAAAAGAGACTCCGTGCCACTGCAAGAAAATTGTATTTCAATTTAAGTCCTCAAGATTTAATGCTGTTGTACACAACCTACATTAGCCTAAGGGCAAATATATATTTGTTTTGCAACCAATGACAATGACCAGTGACAAACCATAACAATGGTTAACTTTGATTTTTATTAAGTATCCTTCGGATATTGCATCCCCAACAGACACTTAAATAAGCGAAAACATTTCCAATGTAAGAGTCTAAATTCCTCTATCACTCCTGTCACTGATCTTTATTTTCTTCATAATAAACTGAATTTCCCTCCCTTCTGACTG